TGCGGTCGCTCTGAGGATCCATCAGGGTTAGTATTGATCGATTAATTCAAGAATCAATGTTGTTTGAAGAAGTTAATGTATCTTCACTTTTGATGAAGTGGATGAACCTTTGCCTGGCCGCACACGTCGCGGCCGCCTCTCGGCCGCATAGACTCGCGTCAAAGACCATGGTGAACGTGCCCAAGGCGGAGCGCGTCGCCGTCTTCAAGCGGTGCGACCCCCCCCCCCGCGCCCGCCCGCCTTCGAACCGCGCGGCGCCCGTTTAGGCTCATGGCGCTCCCCGACAACCGCGTCTGCTTCGACTGCACGCAGCGCAAGCCCATCTGGGCGAGTTCGACCTTCGGCGTCTTCATCTGCCTCGACTGCTCCGGCGGCCAGCGGCGCCTGGGCACGCACATCACCTTCGTGCGGTCCTGCGACATGGACGAGTGGACGGAGGAGCAGCTCGAAACGATGCGCTGCGGCGGCAACAAGAACGCGCGCGCGTTCTTCCGCGCCAACGGCGTCCGCGACCTCCACATCCGCCAGGACACCAAGTACTCGTCGTCGACGGCCAAGGCCTACCGCGCGAAACTCGCGAAGGAGGTCCAGGCCGCGCTCGCCGGCGGCCGGAGGAAGGAAACGACCGCCGCGCCGGCGCCGGCGGCCGAGCCGTCCTTCTTCGACGACTTCGAGCCCACGGTGCCGACGCGCACGGCGTCGGCGCCCCAGATCTCGACGCTGGAGCAGACGGCGTCGCCGCCGTCGCCCGCGCCCGAGGCCGTGAACTTCCGCGCGGTCCCGTCGCCCAAGGCCAAGCCCGTCGTGCCGCTCCGCCTCCGCAAGGCGTCGGCCGTCGGCTCCGGCGCGGCGCTGAGCGCCTCGGGCCTCTCCGCCTCGGGCCTCTCCGCCGCGGGGCTCCAGGGGCCCAGGGCCGCGCCGAAGCTCGTCGTGGCCGCGCCGCCCAAGCCCGCGCCCAAGCCCGCGGCGGCGCCCGCCCCGCCGCCGGCCCCGGCGCCCAAACCCGCGGCGGCGCCCAAGCCCGCGGTGGCC